GATGAACGATGAGAAGGGGCCAGGAAAATCTGCCCATTTTGTGAACTACCGTGAGCAGCAAAGTGGATGACGGACACACCATGCTGTAGTTTACATAAGACTGCTTCTTTTGATGCTTTTTCTCCTAGCAATGGCTCAACTCCGAGTAGTTTTCCTATTTCTGTTGCTTCATCTCTTGCACCGGGCAATGGATGAATATCTCTCTTTATATTCCCTCTATACATGACTTCTCCGACAGCAGGATCTCCAATAATCAGTGCTCCTGACTAAAAATGAGAAGTACCATTATTAATATAATTACAATCATCCTATCTTCGTGTGAAAACTTTCATTTGGAAATCAGCCTGTAAACGACTCCTGTAAAAGAAAGCTTTTGATGCAACGGTCASTAGTAATGAAATGACACAGACACCGATCTTTCCAAATATATGAACAGGCCTAAATTGATAGGAATTCATAATAGCTSAAGATAGYAATCTTACCTTGTAGTGGCGATCATCTGAAGATTCTTGTAGAATTTTCAAAGTCGTCAGAGAAGGRGCCAARCGRAGACGTTTGGTTTCACWTARATATTYACCCGTTTYTGGATYTCGTAGAGCAGCGAATGGTACCATGAACAAAGGGCCATCAGGAATAATGACAATCTCATCTGTGGTCAACTTGTCCAGTTTTGGGGTAACTAATCGCTGAAACAGCACTTCCAAGGACATGTCATSATCTTCGTCCACGTCTACTACCCATCTTGTAAGTTCTCTGAAAACACTCCTAGAAGTTTCATTGGGTTCTGATGAGGTGTAAGAAGGTGCAGGGCCCATGTCTTCCTCACACTGTAGTGATTCCAGCGACCGGTCCTCACACTTCACTGCGTCTCTAATATTCATATGATGGTAGCTGTTGTCAACAAGATGGTGGAAATATCCGTTCTTGATGTTCTGCGTYTCGTCTTTAGKCAGATTAGATACGATTTTTTCTAAGGCTTCATGCTCGGCCATTTCATCATACACGTCGATTGAATTGGATTGTGAAGATACAACCCACAAACGAGCAGTCAGTTTATTAGGATCAATATCATAGAAAAGAATGCAGGCATCACATCTTGACGAAATTATCTTGACATCATCAAGTTTCAGTGATTCAATTTGCTTTGAAGGAGGTTTTTCATTTGTGTTGTATTTCAAGCTCAAGAGATCTCTTAAAGCACGGGCTCGTCCACGTTCACATGTCAGCAAAGCCTTTTCTTGCTGTTTTGTCTCGAGTTGAACTTTGCTAAGAAGTTTGTAGTTCTTAACATAGGTATCAACGAATGATATCTTGAATTGGTCTTTTTCTTTTAACTCATCAAATAGCTTTTCACTGCATTCAATTCCGCTTTGAAAGTTTTCTTCAGCTTTCCCGAGGTTTTTCAAGCTGCATTCAGAACTGAAGAGAACTCCTATGGTACAAAATGGGTGTAGGTTAAAAATTAGGAAAAATTCCGAAAGCTTACCACATACTTGGGAATTTTCTTTTGTACTAACAATCTATTGAATAAATACTAACGAACCCGAACATTGTTTGTTTTGACTTAAAACTATTGCGTACATAAAAACACATCAGGGGATCATGATCTGGAACTGATGTCAATCATTTCTAGTGGTCATGGAAATCAAAAGACATTGGGCTGCCACCCACCCTTATATCTTTTACCACACCTCTCTAGTCTCGTGTTATAATCGATTTTATTATATATCAAGTGTCAAAGTTCACTTTTCCTAGTATCTTATTGGTCGAGAGTGTATCACGTGAAAGTCACAAAATTTTACTGTTTCCCGGCAA